GGAACCTTAAACGAAAAACCTATAAAAGAACTTCTTTTGAAAGCAGATGTTGACAACAAAGCTGACAAAGAGTATGTCATTGAAAAAGTTCAAGAAGAACATGACAGAGCAGATGCAACATATGCAACAAAAGAGGATGTTGAAAAGAAAGCAGATAAAACATATGTTAACGATGAGTTAGCATGTGTGGCTAGTGCGTTAGTGAAGAAGGCAGATAAGGAATATGTGGATGAAAAAGGTAATGAAATTAAAGAAAGGGTTGAATGGTATAATGAACGGACATCAAAGATTTTAAAAACTAAAGCTGATACAGGATGGGTTTCAGGATGTTTAGACCTTAAAGCGGATAAGAACCATACACATACAAGTTTTACAACTTTTACAGCAGACGACATAGTATTGAACTTTGACCTTGGTTCAAGTGCACCTTCAGAGAATCCAAGTACAAGCGTAAAAGATACTCTTCACAATTTAGATAACAGTTGCAGGAATATCGAAGAGCATGCCAGAAACTTTGAAGCATATGAACTACCAACAATGTTAGATAAGAAAGCAGACAAAACAGAGCTTCAAACATTAAAGACAGAAATACTTCAAACATTATATCCTATAGGTTCTATTTATACGTCAATGAACTCTACCAGACCAGAAGTAGTACTTGGTTTTGGAACTTGGACTCAAATAGTCGACAGGTTTTTGTATTGTGCAAACTCTTCAAAGGAAACAGGTGGAAGTAAAACGATTTCAGGTGCAAATTTACCTGCACACAGTCACTACGTAAGTTTAACTACATCTCAAGAAGGTGGGCATAGGCATAAATATTGGGATTGGACAGGAATGACAAAAGGTAAAGGATATGATGTTAAAAACAACGTTCAGTTTGCTATAAATTGTTTCCTGAGTAACACTGAGGTAGGAGGAAACCATACACATTTCGTTTCAGGATATACACAAACAACGGGACAAAGTAAAGACTACATGCCACCTTACATGACAGTTTACGCATGGTATAGAAATGCTTAGTCGTCATTTTCAACTTCTTTAGCATATTCGTCAGGAGTTGTCTTATATTTGTTAGGAACTGTCTTTGAAAGTATACCACCTTGAACTTTGACAAGTTTGAAACGAGGTCTGACAATAGTAGTTTATCTTCTGCTTGCAGTGTGTACATTTTGCCATGTTTGCCTAAAACTTCATAATATTCTCTTGTATACTTTCTTCTATTTTTACGAACACGAACGTGAGTACCTGTCGGGTTCCCATTGTTGTCATAGTCAATAGTATTTTCATATGGGTCGCGTTTAGGTATTTCTATTTTTACTTTGTCACCTTTCTGAAGTTTGAAGCCCGGCATTCTTTCTTGTTTGTCTCTTTTGACTAAATTGTTAAATATATAGTCTTTCTCTAAGTCAGGGTTGTTTTTCATTTCTTCAGGGGAGTGGTTTCCCAAACCTTTTTGTTTACGGCTATTGTAAATATTTAAAACTTGTCTCATCTTTGCCATGGAGAAGTGTCTATATTTGTCGTCATATGACATTTCATTTGCTTCACCACCTTGTGGTTGGTTTAAGTCTCTTAACATTTTTATACAACCGTCAATGACACCAAGAGCAGAATGGTTTTGGTCGACAATGAAATATTGGTTTACATTTTTTGAACGCAGATAGTTTTTAATATCGTCTGATTTGAAAGAACTTTCATAGTCAGATGTCAGTTTTTGTTGGATGGTATTTGTCAACGAATATTGTCAAAGCAGTTTTCACATCTAAAATATTTTTGGACCATAATGGTATGGCTTCACAGTATCTTGTGTTTTGACCAACAAATATTAGCCAGTATGGTGGTCCATCTGTTCTAACTCTCGGAATGTTTTCCAAGATATCCATAAACCAAGCATTTGGTGTTGAACTAAAAATTTTTACCATGAGTGCTTTCTTTGTTGCCTTAGAAACATAGGGGTCCTTGTTTGAATTCGTCATTTTTAACCCATAAGAAATGGGTTTATTTGGCGCATTAGCAGGAGTTGCATCCAGATTTTTACCCGCAGTGGGAACAATAGCCAGAGGTGTATTTGGAGTTGGAAGGAAGATTTTGAGTACATTAGGTATACTTAAAGAGAAAGCACAACCTATTATACAAACTGTACAGAAAGGTTGGGATGTAGCACGAGATGCAACAAATCTTATTCCAAATCCTGAAACAAGAGGAAAAGTTCAAGGATGGATGGACAATGTAGGAAGACAAGCAGGAAACTACTATAACAAAGCAAATGACTACTATAACCAAGCAGGGCACTATATGGACCAAGGTGAAAGATTCTTTAACAGAGGATATAACCATGCACAACAGTGGGTAAACAATAACCAACCTCAACCGCCTCAAACGTGGGGAATGTAAAGTTTTTTATTGAGATGAAATGAACAATGCAGCATTGAGACAAATAAGTTCAAGATGGATTTGTCGGCTTCCAGCAGTTACACCACGTGTTTGTCAAGTTCTTCCTATACCTCAGGAAGTTTTAGACCGACTTAAAAAACCTCAACAACCAGTTGAAAACAAACCAAACTAAAATTTTTTACTGAGATGAAATGACCGAAGAAGTTGAAACGGTAGATTTGACACCACAAACAAAAAGTTCAGAACCATTGTCAAAACCTGTCAAAGAACTTACAGATGAAGAGAAAAATTCAATAATAGAAAGTGCCAGGTCTGGAAATACAAACCCTAACTACAAAGTCACTTTTCATAGAAATGGAACGGCTAGTATCTCAAAAAAGAAACAGACTCTCACAAATAAAATATTGAAGTCTGAAGGAGCTTTCGAGACAACAGATGGAAAAGTTTACTTCACTGACCAACAGTTCATTATAGAACATCTCATTGACTTAGAGTCGAAATATTCTAAACTTTACAACAAACACAAAAAGTTGAAAGGAAAACAAAAACAAATGGCATATGATATTTATGAAGATGTTGACGACACAACTGTTCCTGCAAGTGAAGTAAAGTCAGAGGAACCGAAAAGTGACGAAAAACCGATAGAAGAAGAGAAACCAAAAACTGAAGATAAACCAAAACCAAAGTTTAGTTTCCAAACTAAACCAAGTCAACCTTCATTAGCTGGTATGGGTTGGCGTCAAAGACTTATGGCAGCAGGCGGTTATGTAAAGTAAAGAAAAAATATTTTTTTATTTTTATAAAAATGCCCCCATATAGAATGGATAGAAAATCTGCTAGAATAAAAGCAGAGTTGCAAAGATATGGTTGGAGAGTTTCGAAGAAGTTTAAATATAGGAAGGGAAGACTCATAAAAGTCTATGACAAATTGTCTGGTCTTCGCTACGAAATGGATTTGGAAACAGCACGTGCCAATTATCCAAACAGACTAGAGAGGTTAGAAGAAGAACGTCTTATGGACATGCCTTTCGATGTTAGTGAACCTCAAGTTGAAGGACACGACGGCTTTGCCAGATTCTACTGGAAACATGACGAACAATTGCATCCTTTGAGAAGGAAAAAAGGAAAAGGTGAAGACACACATGCTCCCATGGAAAGAACAAGATATGCATATGAAAAGTATCGTGAAGTTAGAAGTCAAATTACATCTGGTCGAACCTTTACAGTAAACTTTGACGAAGGAAAGAACAAAGAAGGCTTCATGGGAGTACTTGCTGCAATTCAAGACGGAAATAAGAAAGGACACAATCTCAGATTGACCATAACAGATTTGGATGGTCACATTTACTATGCACATGGCAATGTCACAACAGCCGCACAACTTCTTGACGCTTTCAAGACTACAAAGAGAGAACAAATGGTTGACTCCGACTCAGACATTTTGAATGCAATTGAAGGAATTGCAAGTGTCAAGTTCGAATGGTACCAACCTAACCCTCAAGCAGTCAGACAACATGCTGGATACTTCCCGTTCAGAAATAAGTCTGACATTGACTTGACAAGGTATGGAATTTACAATTCAATTGAAACAATTGTCAACGAACCTTGCATTCTTACATGTCTCAGGAACTCTGGTCTTTTACAGATGAGAAAATGAAGTATCTTGAGTCATGTGTGAAGACAAGGTACATTCTCAGAGGTCAATTGGCAAAAGTTGCACCGTTGGCAAATGTGAATATCCGAGTCAACATTCCGACTGAGAAAGGTTCTTCACATGACGACTATGTTGTTGACAAAGACTTACCATGGTTGAAGATTGTAATTGTCCACAACCACTTCATGTTGAACGAAAGTCTTACAAACCCATTGTTCGGAAAAGGCAAGTGCAACATTGTCAGAGCTGTAAACATTCTTTTCGAGAAAGGTTTGTTGGAACCAATTCCAGATGACAAGCTGACAGAAACTTTTGTACCAAAAGACGAAACAAACTTTTCATTGTTAGCAAGACCAAAAGTTGTTCCAGACAAAGTTATAGTACAAAAGAAGTACACAGTTCCACAAGGAGTTGGATTGTTCGGATACCAACCTGAACCAGAAGAACTTCCAATGAGGTTGCAAGAACTTCAAGATGCTATAAACAAACTTCCATTGAGACATCCAATTGACGTCAAATTGTATTGGAGAGCATCTGAGTTAGGTCAGAAGGTTTTATATGAAACAGGTTGCTTCGACGATGTTTATGAGATAACAGGAGAAGTTTCTCAGAAGATAAGAGACTCACTTGAATTTCCACAAACTGGACCGATTGGATGCGACAAGTTCGACTCAGATGAAAAAATATACTATGTCGACCTTAACGCTGCGTACATGAGGTTTGTCCAATATATTCCGACTGGAATTCCAAACGAAGATGGTGAGTTCCCGGGAAGGAACTATACAGTTGGAAAAGTCATACAACAACTGTATGATATTAGGAAAGCTTCAAACCCCAAACTTGCAATGACACTCAAATTGCTTATGAATTCGACATGGGGATATTCCATTAAGAAACCTCAAGAGATGAAGAGTAAACATTATGAGAAGGTCGACAACTTTGTTGAAAGGTTTTCTCCTTTTGTTTTGAAGTACGAATTCACTCAAGGTCAAAGTGGCTTAGTAACCACATTAAAACCTATTGTCGAACATTGGTCTTACCCTCAGTTCGCAAAGGCAGTCCTTGACAACTACAACAAATTCTTCTCCGAAGTCAAATCCAAAGTGAAGGTTTACTATGAGAACATTGACGCACTCATGACGAACGAAGAAGGATACAACAAACTCATTGAAATGGGTATGGTCGGTGAAAAGATGGGCTGTTTTAAGCTAGATAAGGTATTTTCCGAAGTTCATGTCCTCTCCAAGCGTAAGTACTGGGGCATACTTGAAGACGGCACAGAAATAAAACATTGCATGAAGTAAAAACGTTTTTCAAAAAAGTGACATTTTTTAAATTTTATTTGAACTGTACGATGAGTTTGTTGGAGAAGACCGTTGGGAAACTTGTTTGTTAGATGAGAAATATGAAATAAAAACATTTTAAAACAGTATATTTTTACATATATTAAATGCTTCAGGTTGAAAAACAAAGAACAAAAGTAGCAGATACAAAACCGTTAGACTATATCTTTACAAATGCTGGTAGGACTATTTCAGATGAAGAAATTTCATCCGGAGCATACAGGTTTGACTATCCAATTCGTTGGCTTCAAAGTCCTTCAGATGCAAAGGCAATAGGATTTAGAAGAGTTTTGTTTTCAAATAGAACTAACGCGTTTATGTTCGCAGTATATTTTCATGGGCAGTATAAAGGTTCTGATGGTCTCATAGACAAATTTGACGAAATGAAAATCTTTACAATTCGTTCAGACGAAAGTCTTGAAAAAACTCTAAATGACTTTCAAACTCAAATGAACAAATACTACTGGGAATTTCAAGAAAAATACGACTCTTTACTAAATGGAACATACTATCTGAAACTAGAATATGACAAGATGAACTCCACCGTTTCATTTCAAAAGATTGAAATTAACCCTCCAAGAGATACAGAGTTTTTATTTTGGGGAGTAGACAAACGTTCTTGGGCACAATTTCTTCGGTTACTAAACCAGAACGAACCATTACCACCAGATGGTCCATTTAAATTTATACTTCCACCAGCAGATTTGACAGTTTATAGAAACGTGTTTGACCCTCAAAATGTCATGTGTCATGCAAGTTTCAGTTCAAGCAACAACAGTTTTCTTTGTATTGGTAAGGACTTTTATGACTTTGCTTCTAAATTCTACGAACCACCTAGTAACAGTTTCTCTGACTTTCAAGTTTGGTTCACAACAAACGGTGTGCAGCATATTATACCATTGTACTATGACTTTTATCTCGAATTGTCTTTCATATACAACTACGGAAAAGTGCTGAAAAAGTATTGAAAAATGAGTTTTGGTTGAAAAAAGAGGTGGAGCCAAAAGTGGCTCGACCTCAAAACAAGCATTTTTGTGAAGAATATACCAACCGCCGGAAAACAGCGGGTTGCTTTTTATACAAAATTCAACCGTTGAATTTTCATGAATTTCCTTAAGATAGAAAAAAATATATTTTAGGTGTCACCAGGTCCCTCGGTCCCTCGGTCACTCGGTCAACTAACATCTTTTTGAAAATGGTGACAACATGACATTTTGACAACAACACAGGAAATAAACTTCTTCGTACATGTTTTGTCGAAACTTCTTCATCGTAAATGTTTTGTCAAACATGAACGTATATGTTTTGTCATGATTTCATCGTAATGAGCGTAAATCAGACAAAAATATATTTTAGTTTTTTTTAAAAAAATATTTTTTATTTTTATTGTAAGAACATGTTAGCAACAACAGCACCAAACTCGTTAGTCATGAACCCAACTTCAATGTTAGTAGAAATGAAAAGCTTCATTCCTTCTTCATATACTTTCGAAACAGAAATCCAGAAGATAAAGCAAGAACTTCTCCAAGGAGATTTAGATTGCACTGCAAAAGATGAAGAAAATGAAGAATATCTTTATGAAATGCAGGACCTGGTGGAACATCTACCTAAACTTCCTGAAATACAACAACAAAAGCTTACTATTCCTGAATTCGATGAAATAGAAGTCAAAGCAACTGACTCAGTAGAAATAAAGAAGTTCATACGTAAGGTTAACTATGAGTTTCTTGGATTTCATTGCAACCACAAAGTCATGGACATTGACATATATAAATCTGAAGAATTTAAGACCTACGACAACTTTGTTTCGTTAGTTGCAAAATGTGTATGGCAGATAAGAGATAAAGATAGAAGAGGTAAAGTATGGAACGGACAAATAAAACCAGCAGCCTTTGAGTTAAAGAAAACCATTTACGCCTTAGTTGTTTTAGCAGGACAAATTTCAATGTACAATGCTAAAATGAACCCACAATGTTCAAAATGTAAAGCAGCAATGAGGAAATATAACTACTCCGTCAAAGAGATAGAACGTATGCGAAACGACTATGCAGACTTAAAGAAAGAAGCAGAGAAACCAGCAGAAGATAAAATGGACATGTTGACATTTCTAAACAAAAACTATCCAACTGCTGACGATTTCCTTCTATCTGACGTCAAGAAGAAATATAAAGAAACCTTCGGCATTGTTAAAAAATTCGATGTACTAAAAGAAGAAATAGAAGCCACAAAATTGTTTAGAATTTCACGAATTCACAATGTTTACCATGTAAAACGCTTGTGAAAAAAGAGGTTAGTTGACCGAGTGACCTGGTGACACCTAAAATATATTTTTGTCTGATTTACGCTCATTACGATGAAATCATGACAAAACATGTACGATGAAGTCTTGACAAAACATATACGATGAAGTCTTGACAAAACATATACGAAGAAGTCTTGACAAAACATTGACGATGAAGTCTTGACAAAACATGTACGAAGAAGTCTTGACAAAACATTGACGATGAAGTCTTGACAAAACATTTACGAAGAAGTCTTGACAAAACATTGACGATGAAGTCTTGACAAAACATATACGATGAAGTCTTGACAAAACATATACGAAGAAGTCTTGACAAAACATATACGAAGAAGTCTTGACAAAACATTGACGATGAAATCATGACAAAACATATACGATGAAGTCTTGACAAAACATATACGAAGAAGTCTTGACAAAACATATACGAAGAAGTCTTGACAAAACATTGACGATGAAGTCTTGACAAAACATGTACGAAGAAGTCTTGACAAAACATTTACGAAGAAGTCTTGACAAAACATTTACGATGAAATCATGACAAAACATATACGAAGAAGTTTATTTCCTGTGTTGTTGTCAAAATGTCATGTTGTCACTATTTTCAAAAAGATGTTAGTTGACCGAGTGACCGAGGGACCGAGGGACCTGGTGACACCTAAAAACCATCTACCCTAAAATATATTTTTGCTGAAAAAATGACCAAATTTCATGATATAACTGTATTTTTTTGACGAAGAGAACTTTGACACTTCGTAAAAAAAATCCCTGAAATCGTAAAAAAATGACCAAATTTCATGATATAACTGTATTTTTTTGACGAAGAGAACTTTGACACTTCGTAAAAAAAATCCCTGAAATCGTGAAAAAACATATACGAAGAAGTTTATTTCCTGTGTTGTTGTCAAAATGTCATGTTGTCACTATTTTCAAAAAGATGTTAGTTGACCGAGTGACCGAGTGACCTGGTGACACCTAAAATATATTTTTGCTGAAAAAAATGACCAAATTTCATGAATTTCCTCATATGTTTGCTACCCTCGAAAAACTGAGGATAGAGATTCCGTACGAAAATCGTAAAAAATTGCGAGCAGGTAAAAAAACGTAGTCGCCTAAAACTCATGAAAATCGTAAAAAAACTCTATGAAAATCGTGAAAAAATGCGAGTAAGTAAAAAAACGTAGTCGCCTAAAACTCATGAAAATCGTAAAAAAACTCTATGAAAATCGTGAAAAAATGCGAGTAGGTAAAAAAACGTAGTCGCCAAAACTCTATGAAAATCGTAAAAAAAACTCATGAAAATCGTGAAAAAATGCGAGTAGGTAAAAAAACCTGGTCGCCAAAACTCTATGAAAATCGTGAAAAATAACCAAATTTCATTATATAACTGTATTTTTTTTTTACGAAGAGAACTTTGACACTTCGTCAAAAAAATCCCTGAAATCATATCTTTTATACAAAATAAAATAAAGTTAGTTTTTTATAAAATATTTTTTTTTATTTTGTATGTAAGAACAGAAAATGACAAACATTGAGTTTGAAACAGTTAGAAAGATAGACAATGACACCAAAATGGTTAGAATAGGTGATTTAAACGTAAGATACTCAAAGAAATACAACAAATATTCTTTGTCAGACATTCTAACACTATCTGGAAAGAGAGCAAAGGACTGGGTTAGAAATGCTTCAACTCAGAAAATTTTGACAAGAAATCCTGAGCTTTTGATATCGGTAAGATTCTATGGAACTACAGCATATCTCATCGACAAAAGTCTTATACCAATAGTTTTGTTATGGTTAGACCCAGTTGTTGGATATAACTTCATAACATATGGTTCATTCGATACGGAACGTTGCAGTGAAGGCTTACTTTACATCGTTCAGAAACCGAAGGACTTCAATACAAAGAGATATAAGATAGGAAGAACATATAATATAACTCAAAGATATGACAATACAGTCAATAGAGTCAAGGTTGTGTTTGTAAATGATATGAGAGCTGCAGAAACAGAACTACTTGAAAAGTTTGAGAAAATGTATGGTGCTCCCACGAAAGGTAAAGAAACGTTTGAAGTAGATGAGATAGCTAAAGCTATAAAATTATTTGACGAAGTTGCTGAAAAATACATGTAAAGCGTTTATTTTTGGTCTTTTGTGAAAGTCAGAAAATAACGCTAATTTTTTATAAAATATTTTTTTTATTTTGTATGTAAAGACAGTAATGTCAACAACAGAGAACACAACAACTGCTATCGTTCATGAAGCCATAAGTGAAGAATACGAGTGGGTTCAGTATAACAAACAGTTACGTCTCATTCGTTCGGTCAAAGATGACATGTACCAAATGCAAAGTATTTTGACAGCATGTTTTGCTCCAGATACCAAACATACAGACGATTGGTTCAAAAACCAAAGCACCATTGA